CCTGAATTTGAATCATTTAGAACTGAATTTGAATCATTTAAAACCTGAATTTGAATCATTTAGAACTGAATTTGAATCATTTAAAACCTGAATTTGAATCATTTAGAACTGAATTTGAATCATTTAGAACTGAATTTGAATCATTTAAAAGTGAATTTGAATCATTTAGAACTGAATTTGAAGTGCCCAACTTGAATAATTGCTTTAAAAAACTGAATTTGAATTGCATAATTTGAATTTATATTGTTTAACTTGAATAACTGAATAGCATCATTTGAAACTGAATTTATTAATTTGAAACTGAATTCCAATAAACTTGAAACTGAATATAATATTATTATTATCTGTTGCAGCTGAAACTGTATTTGAGCCCCACTATAAATTCAACTCTTTATGTAGTTTCACTTTCAGTTCTCTAAATTCAATTTCAGTCTGCAAGATTCAGTTTTAAGGTCACAGGCAGGTCAAGGTCCTTGAGGAAGAGCAATCGAGTGCAGATGCACAGAGCGTCTTTTCGGCCAATCAGCACGTTAGTTTTTGACCATTTCCTGTATTCCACATCGGCAGCCTGTTGCTCCGGCTGTGTGTAATCTTTATCTCCTAAAGGCCACTCTAGAGGTTAAGTAACTACTAGATTGTTTGTAACTAAATCAGCTACTAATATGAGTTACAACACAATTACTAGAGCGGACCTTTAGTTTAACTTGGGCGTAAAGTCGTAACTACAATAGCTTTCTGGCGAGGTGGCCACTTAGCACATCATAGACCACTATCATATCAATAAATTATGTGTCTACTGGATTAGCGTGTAGCTAAATGACATGCAGTTAGTGAAATGTTGGCAGTTTTACCATCAGTGAGTATAATGCTGTGACAGATCTGCAGCCTGTGGCCTCTGTAACGCTTGTGGAAGTTAGAGTTATGTCCTGAATTCTCTCCGTCGATCCCGCTGCAGGCACGTTCGTTACCAGGCAACATGGATGCGCGTGCACACACGGAGAGGAAGTTGGGAGCGCCACACCCGATGGATGCGGTAACTGTAGTTGTTGAAATCACTTGTCTGTGAGCGGCTGATGTTTGAGACTAACCTGCAGCCAAATTATTACTGATGCAGCCAAAAACTCTCCAACCTCTTTGCAACCAGAAGCTCTGGCTTTCTTATCTAGTGGTGAACAAAGTTACTCATTTAGACCCTTTTTCTTTTATTTCTTAAAAAAATAAAATAAAAGTACTAATAGTCCTACCTCACTGTAAAAATACTCTGCAAGTACTGCATCGAAAACTTTCAGTAAAAGTATGTAAGTAGGCTAGAAGTAAAAGGAGCCTAATGTTTCCTGTGTTATAATATTAGCCTGCATCATATCATTAGATCTTTATTGCTTTAACCATTAATCGATTGTAATGAATTCTGAAAATAGTGAGAAATGTTAAGTGACACCTTCACGATGCTTGTTTTGTCAGTCCAAACCTCAAAATGAATAGAAATACATTAAAATAATCAAAAGTTAAAGCAGCAACTCTTGACGTTTGTGAGGCTGGAACCATGAAATGTTTTTACATGAAAAAAACAAGTAATACTAAAACAGTTTCTGTCAATTAGCCTAACTGATGTAGTTCTAGCTGGACTATAAGTATCTAAACACCCTATTCGTTTCAAACCCTCTAAAAGCAAAAGTAAATAGTACTTTAAGCTGTCAGAAAGTGTAGTGAAGTAAAAAGTTCAATATCTCCCTCTGAGATGTAGAAAGTTCTGCATACTACTGTAGGCCTATGTGTACCATATACACGGAGCACAGCTGTTCATTGGGCTCATTTGGGTACAAGTAAATAGTCTTTCATCAGATTTACCTACTGTTATAATTTCTATTTACGAACTAAAGGTAAAATTGAAACTGGCTGTGGCTGAGGTGCCGCTGCTGCAGATATTTGAGTGGCTCCTCCTTTAACACGTGTTATCTCACTCCACACTACTAACTAACGTTAACTTGCTGCTATGCTGCAGCTCTGTTACAGGTCCAGTGTAATAAATACAGGAATACTGCTCTTCTGCTGCATTCATGCAGTATAAACTCTCACTTACTCATAAATGAGCTTTTAGTACGTATAGTAAACCTAAATTTAGTTATGCATTTTAATACATTTATGAGAATTGATACCCAATGATGAATTTTAATATTCATAAAATCAAACCAGATTCCTCGTTAAGGGCACCACCGGAGTTGTTATAATCCTGGAGTCTCCGGACCTCCAGGTAGTTTTAATAATTGTGAAAAAGGAAATCTCTGACCACAGGACGTGTGTTAAGTCTTACTGCTTGTCGACAGCCTGCTTTTGGCCTGTTGCTGGTCCCACTCTAGCTGCCGATCCTGGCTTTTTGCTAGGGATTCTCCAGGGTTCTCCGTGTCTGATTGAAAACGCCTCCTCCGTCTGGCAATTCGGCTGTTTGCAGGTTTCCTTGGTTGTAGCTGGCGAGAACACGTGGCTTGGTCTGACCTCGGTGAAGTTGGCTTGACGGAAAAGGCTTAAAATGGAACTTGGTCGTGCCTGAATTAGTCCAGTGTAACTTAACGGACTGATAACTTTAACAAACAAAAGAAATAAAGAAAATAAAACAAACTGAAGGCAGATCCATGTCGCGGCACTTCAGGTGTGTAGCTTCAGGCGAACAAAGGCCTGTTTGTTTCGCTGGCCGACTGAGGGCGCTGCCCGGCGAGGCACGCACGGCGTGCCGAAGCGTCCAGAGGGCCGAGCAGAGTGGCAGAGCCAACAGCAAAGAGAAGAGCCCAGCGTGGTCGCGTGTCGCTCTTTTGTTGCCTGGGGCGTGGTTCCCCAGGGGGCGTCTCAGGTTTCCCCAGGGACTGCCTTTCTAAACTTAATGTCTAAAGAAAAGAAATCTATTTGCACGTATTATAATCAAATATTTTCCACAATCGAACCTCAATGGTTGAACGGTTGTACTGTTCTAAGCATTTGGTAACAGGAAACAATTGTCACATTATTGGTCAGTATTTTTACACATTTAACCGCATTTCCGACGAGGGCATGTAATACTTATTTCGTCCACTTGGGGGAGCTCAGGTTACATGAGGAAAGCTTGGATTAAATCAAAGATCGTCTCTCCTTAGGAACCGGGGAATATTGTTGATTCATCCTTAAATTCAAGCTGGCGATTAAGAGTATAGTAAAACATTTCTTTGTCATCATTTCTAAAGGGATTTTGTAAGAAAGTATTATGAACAAGCATTGATTACATTAGATGAAGGAGTGTAGTGCTGAAAATAAAAACATTGCACAAGTAACTTCTTTTCAGCACTAATAGCAACAACAGTTAACATAACTACTCAAATAGAGGCAAACGTAACCAGGTAACTAAAGATTTAATTAAACTTAATTAAATGCTTTGAGTCTGGAGACTGCAGTCCTTTTACATTGAAAGTTCAGTGTCTGGAACATGTCACACTTGGGTGAGACAGGGGTTTTCCTTTTATTGCGTAATAAAACAAAGAATAAGGTCAGTTGCTTGATGTGTGTGGGGGGGCCAGTTTTGATAGGCTGTTCAGGGAGATGCCAATGGCTGGTTCGTGTCCCTTTGTCAGTTTAACAGTCAGGCCCCGCGTTATCAGCTTCAGAATCAAAAAGGTGCCAGTTTTATGGTCGGATAGCACTTAGAGAAAGCAACTTTGACCCCCCCTTCTTCTCTGGGGAGGAGAAAGGAATTTAGAGTAGCTCCAAATTTATTCCATGTAAAATGCACAAATCCACACCGTTGTTCACTACATACGTCACAACTCCATTTACAGCTAAAGCCAAATGCTCTGTGTATTTTCCCTCTTGATAAAAGTTATACAAGAGGAACCAGCTTGTTAGCTCCGCTAGGATCTAAATATCTTTTATTGCTCAGTAGTGTTTCATCTACTGTGCAGAATGCGGCACGGTGAAGCGTAAAAATGTGTTTGTAGCATACGGACAACAACAGGTGAAGTCTAATGAGTGTTTGTGTAAAGCAGGACTCTTTACATGAGCCAGAGCCAAGTCCGCTTTCACCGCGAGGCCCTGGGGCTGTAGGCCGCCAGTAAAGACAATAATGTGTAATGACCATCTGATCTGTACTCATCATTTCTGACTATTTGATAAAGACAGTATAATGTTAGTATATTAGTTTATTTATTTGGATGATCTGCCTACAGATAGAGAATCAGCTGTTTCACTAATAAAACCTTTCTCTGATCTGAGCCTACAGCGCTGTGGTGATAGAAACATAGAGGCTGATGTTTGTGTATTCATTAGAATTTCAGATCATAGTACAGTAATAATAACTGTGCACAGAGAGTTCAGCATTTCTAAAGTTTGCTGTAGTGTCTCAACCTTTTTTAATGTCCCGCCTACTCCTGGCTGTGATTGGCTGGTTTGCGAAAAGTGGCTTTGATGAGCAGCTACGCGCACGTTTGCTCAACAGTCGTTCGATAAATGATAAATATAAAACACGTTCAGAGGGGATCTGAAACGCGTTTTTTCTGTTCTGATCATTTCTTCCCTTTGGCGCTCGCTAAAACCTCTGGTTTAATTTCTCTAAGCAACATTGTGAGAGGCTGTGGTTTATGCTTCCCACCTGGGTCACCTGTAAACTGGATCAATCAGCAGCCAAAAACATGAATATGAACAGAACATGTGACAAACTACAAATTATTTCTTGGCCTATGATTGGCCCCTGGTCTTCGTAGGCCCCTGGTCTTCGTAGGCCCAGTAAGGCCGGGCGTTAACGTGGGCTCGGTCAGAGCTAATGCTACAAACACATAGTCTTATATAACAAGATAGATTCAAGATTAACTACTGTGGGTGGTTGTTCCCTCTTTTTGGCATCATTTAAATTTAGCGTTTTTTTAGACAAATATAATTCTTCACACACCTTTTCTGAAAAAGATATTTAAATTCATACATATAGAAGAAAAACCTGATCCATCTCACATCTTTACGGTGAAGTAGTGACTCAGTAAACGCTCTCATTTCACAACCTTTATTATGGTGTTGATCACAATATAATGATGATGTTCTTTACAACAGCTGTGTACATAGAGGAACAGATACTGGGTTCTCACAGTAATCACTATTCTATCACTTTGATAACTCTTTATTTCATATTGGACATCCTACCCTCGGCCTCAGTGTTGTAAGATTACATGCACACAACACGTTACCTCTGTCTCCTCCAAACAAGTGCTCTCTGCTCCACTGGGCTCTGGAGGTCACTGCTCACAAAACCAGGCCACCTGCACAGACGAATGTAGGACAGAGTGAATGCTGCTAGAGAGTTATTGCATAAATATTGAGCTAACATAATGTGACAGAGACGTTTCAATAGCAATATCTACCCGAGGTTAATGGCTAGAAATAGTTTGAAGTAGTCCTCATATATTATACTGGAAATTAGGATTCAGAGGGCTGCGATGCGATTATAAAACTATTATCGATGCATCTTGATGCGTAATTCTTTTCTATACAGGATGTCTGGATAGTTACGAAGCATTTAATTTGTGCATTAAGATCTAAAAGAAACATCTCATAATAAGCTTAAAATGACTAGTTCGCATCCCTACTTTACTTCATTAAGCTCATCTCTTCAACATCCAGCTGTCAGACTGACATATAATTATCAGGATGTGTCCTCGACAAGTATCAGGAGGAAATTGATAATCTTGCAGAGAGGTGCTCAGAGAACAAGCTACTGCTCAGCGCCAGCAAAACCAAGGAGCTGATCGTTGATTTCAGGAAGAAGGAGATGAAGACACACTCCTGTCTACGTCAGTGGAGCTGAGGTGGACGTGGTCGCGGACGTGGTCGTCTCACATCTCCACGCTGGAGAGGAAAGATCAGAAAGCGCTGCTAAAGAAGGCCGGAGGGCTCTGCAGCGGGTGATTCAAACTGCCCATCTCCTGAGCATCGGTGATATCAGTGAGGTGCCTGCAGAGCCCAGAGGAGACTAAAGGACAGCACCCACCCAGCCTGTTCGCCCTGCTGCATGCTGGGAAGAGACATAGAAGTTTCTGCTGCTGCACCTCCAGACTGCAGAGCAGCTTTTCCCCCAAAACTATCAGACTCTTAAACTCTAGTTCATCCTCACTGCTCCACTGATCATAGTTTATTTCTGTTTCCATTTTTTATAATTGATTCACTCACAACTTAACGTATTGTGACAATAAAACCTACCTAACGTTAGTACTAACAGCTGAACGTGCAGTTGGGGAAACTACAGACCTTTATTAACGGACACACAGTGACCTACGCTGCACCTTAACTACCAGGCTGAAACTAATGTTCTCATTTTATTATTTCTTTATTTACCAAAGCGACTCACATGTCACTCTGGAGGAAGGAGGGGTCAAGGGGGGGATTGAACCTGGGTCTCTCACACCAAAGACATGCGTCTTATCCACTGCACCATCACCACCCTACAGGAACCAGGAGCTCGCCAAGCGCTGAGTGAGCATCTGATTCCTCTGCTATCCTGGCGGTATGTCTCTGTCTGGTTGGGCAACAGCTACAAAAAGTCAAACAATTAGAAGAAATAAGTTAGTGTATCGTGTAAATCTGATTTCTAATGTTTTGGTCTGCCTGACTTTAAACCCGCTGCCCAAAGACTCTCTAACCTTAAAGCTTTTGGGTTTGAGCAAGTTTGCAGCTTGATGTTAAAGTTAAACCAAAGAAAGTGACTATTTGTTTTTCACCTGTGTGAAGAACGTGAAGAAACAACTCGCCATTACTACAACTGTATGAACCCAAAGTCAACATTCTGCTGCGATTAAATAGCAATAAACGGATTAAAGTGATGCCGAAATAACGACAACATGATGCAGATTTGTTAAACATATGAATTCATGCTTTGTCAGGTCTGTCAGCAGGACAACAACTTCTAAAACGTTTGTTTTCTGAATGGAGTTTGGATCGATCAGGGCTATGCTAACTTGGTCACAGTAAAGTACAACGAAAGCTGGAATAAAAGTTACAGACACATGTTTTCTAAACTCACCAGGTAGTTCAACCTCCTCGCTTTCTTTTCTCCTAGTAATGTCCAGTTTGGTCCGGTTTTTATATAAATATGAAGTAGTGCCAAACGACGTTAACAACACTAGACCGGATGTGCACGGAAACTAGCTGCTGAGAAGCTCGAGTGAAGATAAATCAACGTTGTAATCCTAAAAACTAAAGTAAAAAAGCTTATTTAATAAAAGCAGTTTACTCAGAGTTCCTCCCTCGAGCAAACGGCGTAGTTGCGAGGAAAGTCCAGTCCGACCACGGGTATTTATTTGTCCGAAAGCTGGAGCGCTGTTCCCTGCTCATCTAGCCCAAGTTTAGCAGTTTACGCCCAAGTTAAACTAAAGGTCCGCTCTAGTAATTGTGTTGTAACTCATATTAGTAGCTAGTTACAAACAATGTAGTAGTTACTTAACTTCTAGAGTGGCCTTTAGGAGATAAAGATTACACACAGCCGGAGCAACAGGCTGCCGATGTGGAATACAGGAAATGGTCAAAAACTAACGTGCTGATTGGCCGAAAAGACGCTCTGTGCATCTGCACTCGATTGCTCTTCCTCAAGGACCTTGACCTGCCTGTGACCTTAAAACCAAGCGGGAAGCTTCCGGTCTACAATACGAAGCCGATGCGGAAGTCCCTGAAACCTGCATTCTATTGAAAATCCAGCAGGGGGCGACTCTTCTGGTCCGGCTCCATTAGAAATAAAATGTTTCTACTTGTCAGCTGATTTATTCCCTCAGTAAACTCTTTCCTGATGAGTTTCTGGTCTCAGTCGCTGGTTTCAAGTCTTCTTCAACACAGCATGATGCTCATTTAGTAAATTATGGTCCCATTTATTTTAAAATAGACCACAAAGCAGAGTATGTGTCAGGGCGGGGTTATCTATGATTGACAGGCCGTTACCATGGCGCTGTGTAAATTTAACCAGCGCCGCTGAAAAAGGCTGTTCACTTTCTCTGGTGAGGACATTTAGTTTTCAGACTGTTGTTCGCTACACAAAGTTAACGTGAGTTACAGATGCACCTAGCTAAGCAAGCTAGCTCCGCACACGGCCGTTAGCTCCGCCGTATCATCACTTCCGGGCACTTCCTGGTTGCAAAAACTCCTCATGGCGGCGTCCTATCGGCCAAACTCCACAAACCAACGGGTGACGTCACCATGACTACGCCCACTTCTTACATACAGTCTATGCTTAAAACTGAAGCTTGTGGACTGAAATTGAATTGAGAGAACTGAAAGTAAAATTACATAAAGAGTTGAATTTTTAGTGAGGCTCAAATACAGTTTCAGTTCAGATTCATAATCTCACATTCAGGTTCAAGTTTATTGGAATTCGGTTTCAAACTAATACATTCAGCTTTTTTATGAAATTATTCAAGTAGAGCAATTCAAATTCAGTTATAAATGATTCAAATTCAGTTATAAATGATTCAAATTCAGTTATAAATGATTCAAATTCAGTTATAAATGATTCAAATTCAGCCCTTTCTGTGTGATCTGATGCTTTACTGTGTGAACACAACATGTTACAGCCACTAAATATAAACTGTGCTTCTGATATCTGATCTGATCCAGAGGTCTGAATGATTCTGGGCTCGTAGGTTGTGTGATTTATATATTTTTACTGTAGTGAAACGTTCAGAAAACTCTCTGTGGAGTTACTGATCACATGTTCATAACCAGATAGCACGTTACTCACTTTGTATTAACATTAAAATGTCCAGGTGACGTTACTTTTACAGCAGCTTCCAGTCAGCTCTTACATATTAATTATCTGTAGTGTTTCTGAATTTAAAGGTCATTGTTTTTATGATTTAAAGAAGTTTCTGAAGCTGGAATTCTTAAATATGTCAGAGGTTGATGCTTCAGTTTAAAGTTAGTTTATTTAAAGTTCAGAATGAGTTTGAATCTTAATCTGTTTCATTCAGGTTCTGGTGACTTTATTTGTACTCTCCATCAGGAAAGTTTCCCTTAATTATCTTCTATAGTGAAAAGAAACTATGAAACACACGAATGAGCAGATTTGTAAAGTCAGAAACCTCCTGAACAACCTGACAGCAGTGATCAGCTGCTTCCCTCTGTATGAACATCCAGTGAAACTCTTTACAATGTGAGTGGATAGAAATGGCGAAAGTCGGACACAGTTTCTGACCAGCATGCATCACGTTCAGTCAGCGCAGCGCCGCAGGAAGTCAAACGCGCTTGTTCTCTGAGTGACATTAAAGCTTGTGCTGCCCTCTAGAGGCTGCACAGAAAGAGTCCTGAGTCTCCGTGTGGGCTGAAGAGTCACCACTGAACATGACGTGAGAGCTGGCCAGCTGTAGTGTTGATCACTTATTTCCTCGAGTGTAAAGTCTGTCTCACCTGCCTTGTACGGGGTCTCAGTCCCCCAGCCGCTAATAATAATATTAATACCCAAAAGTCGCCCCAGCTGGCGTTACAGGGTAAAAGCCTCACCGTTACAGGCCTGGTACCGTTTCTCTGAACTCCTCATCAGAACTCCCGCGCTTCCAGAGATCTGCTGCAAAGGGTTGCTTGGATGGTCTGTTGAAGGACTGCATCCGGCGAAGAGTTGACCTCTGAGCTAACGTTACAATCCTTAGGACATAAAGGACAGAATAAATCAGATAAATCATCACAGTCAGTGTTCTTCAGTAAAGATCTCACAACTCATTATCATCACCCTGTTGGGACTCTTCTTAAGGTTTACATTGAAAATAGATTTATAGCTTTTATCAGGAGGTATTAAGAATTTTACTCTCTGGCTAAATGTTTTAACAGACGGGTTAAAGACGGGACACCTGTCTTCAGTCGGTGTGTCTCTTGTCTTAAGAGAAGTTAATCAGCCTTACTGCGATTTGTGACGACATGTAAGTGAAGCTGGCTAATTTGTATTAACACATTTTAATCAAAAATATGAATAGTTCTGTTTGCACGTGACACACAGGTAGGAAACAAGTAGCTTGAGTATATTCCTCTTTATTTTAAAGGGTGCTCGTAATCTGAACCCCGTCCCCTTCACGGATCAAAACCAGAAGCTTGGCATGTTTGGGTCACACATGTGGTGGCACAAAGAACAACCTGATTATCGACGAGGAGGTAAACCGGTAAGCAGCCAACATCAAACTGAACGTTTCTTCGGTCTGCGCTGTGCATCTTATTTCATTCAGTGTAAGGCAAGTTCTTCGATGCATGTGTGCTGCCAAGTGGACACGTTGTATTAAAATATACACTCATTTGGTCCAGATGTGCAGGAGCCACCAATGGGATTTGGGACCAAGTGAGAGTCGATCATGGGAAGGATTTCTGCCTGTGCCTGTTTTTATGTTACTACTGAAACCAGAGGTAGTGTTTCTGCTGTGCAACCATGCGCCATGAAAAGGCAGCAGTCTGCAGAGTTTCATTTCACCCTGTCACCTTAGCTGGAAGTCTCATACATGAGGTTTATCAAACTCAGCTGACATGGCTGAGGTCACAACATGCACACCGTTGGCCCTCGCTGTCCGATTCATGGAGAGTCAGATGGAATCAGAAGGTCGTTTAGCGGACGAGGATGTCAGGATTTTTCAGGAACGCAGTCATTTATACAACTCCAATTCCAAAACAGTCCAGTAGATAAAAACAGAAAGACAAGATATGTATCGTTCAAACTGACGTTGATACCTGCGACACGTCCCTAAAAGGTTTACCATCACTGTGTCTCATCCCTTTTTCTTTTAACAACACTCAGCAAGCGTTTGAGATCTATGGACACTAATTGTTGATGTTTTGAAATGTAAGTTCCAGCGAGTATGAGCAGTATGTTCCCTCACTAACAGAAACTAAGAGTGCAGCGGATTTGGCCTGAGGTAAATAATGGGTCAGCTGCCCACTGAAGCCGACCTCGGTGCAGCTGACCGACCAAGAGGCCACAGACATGCAGGATGACACTGTTAAAGTCTGCGTGGCAAACCTGACATGCAGACTCAGCCAGATCGGGCTGAACAGGGTCGTGCAGTCGTGGAACGCACATGAGAATGAATCATGTCAGTCCAAACAAAAAAAAGAAACTCTTTTCTTTTCTAGGCTGAGTTATACCTAATGACTTGCTGCAGGGGGATGCCCAGCCAATCAGAGGGCCTGCGTCTGAGGTGGCAGACCCAGATGAGCAGGAGCTGGGATGCTCTCTCAGCAGGGAGTCTCCGGTCACCTCGCTGTAAGGTTTGAATGGACCAGAATATGTTCCTCCATCTGTTAAACCAACCTACACAAGAGTACTGCAGTACTGTGGCAGTGATGGTACATTTCTGAATAATAATATGACCACGGTTAAACTTGGGAAACCTTTATTTATCTGAAACTTGTGCATCTACATGTGGACCAGCTTTTCTTTTACAGTTAGAACAAATTTAAATTAAAACTTTAGGATTATAACATTTGAACACTTCACACTAACAGTCGGGAGACTCAGAATACTCCATAATGAAACGCTGCTGTGCCTCATGCAGCCCACCGCTGACTGTGTCCGCCTGCCTCTGCTCCTGCAGGTCCGGCAGCCCACCAGACTCCTGCAGCAACAGGTCTGTGGTAACTCTAAGGTAAACAATAAAAGCCTGTTACGTGTCTCCACAGGCAGAGGCAGCCTGCACAGCAGCCGGCCGGTCTGCGCAAACTCCACAAAGTCTTTCAGGGTCCTGGAGACCTCCTGCAGACGCCGGGATCCGAGGACGACTCCCTCCATGTGGTCCGTGACCTCGCGGCACGGTGTAAATCTTTCTTGCAGAACGCAGAACCGTCAGTGTCCATGAACAACATGTTCAACAGTCACTTTAAATGTGTCGTTCTAAAGAGTTTACTGATGTCTCAACATGAAGTCGATGCCTCAACACCACCGGATTAACATCAGCATGTTCCTGACAACATTAAATGATATTATGAAATGTTAGTCTGTCCCTCTGGTTCCTTCACAGCCCATGAGTTCATTACCGTGGCGATCAGTTAATACAACGGGCTCCTCCTGGGCCCGTCGGCGAGGACTCAAACTCTGAGAACCTCACGGCCACCGTT